AAGGGCTGCAATGGCTGGAGTTGATCTAAAGTTGGGAGCCAGGAGCTGCTTCCGGATCTCTCACACAGGATCCCAAAGACTTGGGCCATCCTCTGCTGCTTTCCCAGCTGACAAGCAGGGAGCTGGATGGAAAGTAAGAGCAGCCAAGACACAAAATAGCACCCACTTGGAATGCCAGCACCACAGGCAAAGGATTAATTTCTGCCACCACACTGGGCCTCTATTTATTTATTTGTTTCTTCCTTTCTCTCCCCATTTTTTTTCTTTCATTCTTTCCTTTTTGCCTTCTTATTGATTTGAAAGGCAGAGTGACACTGAGAGAGCCCCAGGAGCTCCGTCTAACCTGGGACCTGCTCCTGTTCCGATGCATGAGCATCTGGGAGAGGAACTTGACTTTGGATAGGGATGTGTCAGAAACTTCCCTGACCACTGCATGGATATGGGCAGCATGCCTGGGAAAGTCAACACTCAATGGTATCAGTTCCCTCAGTTCAAACTCAGAACTGTTCCTTTCCACAGAAATCTTCAGTTAAAGCAAAAGATGTATATATTTTGCAGAGTATTCGTGATCATCTTTATAGAAGAATTAACTATGGAACAAAGAGTTCAAGTACTTTGCCCGCAGTAACACAGGTAGTAACAAGGAGGCCTGAGTTTAAACATATTGCTACAAAGCCTCAACTACTGTGTTAGTCCAGAGGGAACAGAAATTCAGTTCAGAGAATGGGGAGGTGAGTGTGACCAGATCAAGGGTTTTCCGTTCTGGGGTGGGATATGAGCAACTGGGTGGGGCTTAGACCAGCTGAGTAAAGGGCAGAAGGTAAGACAGATAGGAGAAGCCGGCAGGAGCAGATGGATAGAGCCAGAAGTGAAGACAGTATCTAGCTAGCTAGCTAAGTGGCCATCCAAAGAGGGGTCCCTGAAGGGCGCTTGAAAACAACTGTGTTGTCAGTGTGGACTGCCAAACTACGAAAGCCTTGAATGCCAGAACAGCCACACTGGCCTCACCCCATAATGAGAGCCCCAATAGCGTCTGCATGGACTTACAGATGGGAACTTCTTATTATCATTATTAAAAATTGCAAACAGGGCCTGGCACTGTATCCTAGTGGCTAAAGTCCCACCTTACTTAGGCAGGGATCCCATATGGGTGCCAGTTCCAATCCCAGCCGCCCCACTTCCCATCCAGCTCCCTGATTGTGGCCTGGGAAAAAAGTAGAGGATGACCCAAAGCATTTGAACCCTGCACCCATGTGGGAGACCCAGAAGAGGCTCCTGGCTCCTGGCTTCAGATCAGCTCAGCTCTGGCCATGGTGGCTACTTTGGGACTAAACCAACAGGTGAGCAATCTTTCTGTTTTTCCTTCTCTCTATAAATCTGACTTCCCAATAAAAATAAATAAATCTTTAAAAAATTGCAAACATGCAAAAATCTTGAGAGTATTCTGAAACCCCATGTACCCATTATCTGGCTTCAGCCATTATCAGCTCACAACTACCATTTAAAAAGGACTTCTAGTTATTTATTTGAAAATCAGAGTGATGGAGAAGGAGAAGGAGAGAGATCTTCTGTCTGCTGGTTCACTCCCCAGCTGGCCACAATAGCTGAAACTGGGCCAGGCCAAGCCAACAATAAAAACTTGGAATTCTGTTCAGGTCTCCAAAATTGGTGGCAGGAGCCAAGGACTTGAGCCATCTTCTGCTGCCTTCCCAGGCACATTGCAAGGGAGCTGGATGGGAAGTGGAGCAGCCAGAACTTGAACCAATACCCATATGGGATGCTGGTGCCACAGGCAGAGGCTTAGCCTGATATGCCAAGTGCCAGCCCCATGAGTCAATTTGTTCTTATTGCCCCTCAACCTTTCCCCTCCTCCAGGAGCTGCTCTTCAGCCTGCAATGCAGTAACCCTGTGGTGTAGACAGTACCTTCCATGTCTGAGAGGGGATGGAGGTGTCTGGCTCATTCATCTGGGATCCATGAGATACCTCTTAATATCTCCACTGCATTGTGATCCAGAGAACACTGGAGTGGGAACCTGCAGGTCAGAATTCTCACCCAACTCTGTGATACCTGAGCCATAGGGTCCTTGTCCTCCCCAAGCCTCAGAGCCTTCATCTATGAAAGTAGCATGCAGTAGACTAGACAATCGCTAAGGTCCTTGCCAGCTCTGTCATTCTGGTCTTTCCAAGCTTCCTGCTGGAGCTAGGAGTTCCCAGGTGAGGTGCAAATAACCTCCTCTTCTTGGGTGAGTTATCGTAAGCAGCTGGGACAGCTGTGTCCCCACTGTGGGGCCGTACCTCTGCCGTCCACCAGTGACTGTCCGGGTGCCAGCTGGCTCCTCCTCAGTGAGCCTCTGGGGACAAGTGGGGATTCAGAGCCAGGTCCTCACTCCTTGGGTCGCATCTGACTCTGCTCAGTCATGTGGCAGCTCCTTCTCCTCCTGCTGTGCCCATGCCCTGTGGCTGCCAACCAGAAGCCAGGTGAGGAGCCAGGTGAGTATTTGTGCTACAGGTCATCTTGGGCTCTCATTTCTTTCAGCCATGCATTCTCTACAGGAGTCAACCTTCTTGTTTCTGTAATGACCCACCTCCTGGGAGCTGGCAGTCATGAATTCATTAATCAACTCACTCATTTAGTCAGGTGCTTTACTAAGTGCTGACTAGGTGTCTAATGCAGCAGTTCTTTTCTCTTGCCGGTCTGTCTGTAAGATATCTCTGGGCAATTAGCTTGTGAGGGTCTGTTTGTCTGGGGAGGCATGGAGTTTTCCAGAGGAGGCTCTGGTGTGTAGAGGCAGCATGGGACTCTGGAGTGTGCACTGTGGGAAGGAGATGGATGTAACAAGTCCAGATCCGGGGTCACAAGCAGGACCCCAGGGCAGCTTGCACTTCTTCGAAAATGCAGTGGGATGGGTTAGCTTGTCTTTATCAGAACTTCTTTGGAGACAAAGCTGAATTTCAGTGTTGAGGATGGGAGCCTGTACCGGCCAGCAGACCCAGTAACGTGGACACGGTGAGGATCTGGGGATGAGGCACTAAGAGGAGACCAGTGATGGTGGAAGTCTCTCGAAAGTCTCTCTTTATTGCCCTTTCACCTCTCCTTATATACTCTTTCCCCCACACCCTCATTAGCAGAATACTGGGTATAGATGAGTCCAATTAGACCAGGTGCTTCTAGCCCCAAGCCCATTCCCTGTAGTGCTCAGCTTAACAAATGCTAATCAGCTCCTTAGCCCACAACAGGAACCTACAAAGACAGCCATGTGCCAATAGATGTATTATCAAATACAAATATATGTAATCTGAGTAAGGGCAGGGCTTCCATTGTGTTGAGTGGGGTTTGCAAATTTGGGACCAGAACAGGTTTTCGGGCGACCTTACCAGCCTGGGTGAAGCTGTCTGGTGCCTGTCTTCCTCGCCCTTTCTGAATAGCACTTTACTTCCCCTCCATGGAATCCACACACATAAGGAAGTGCAGTTACCCTGGAAGGTGCCTCAGTGCCTGCTTTGCCTGTGCCTGCCCACAGGGTGGCCTCCTGGAGAGGCCAGTGTTGTGGTCCCTGTTATGGTTTGAATGTGTTTACCAAAGTGCAACATGTTGGAAGTTTAATTCCCTAACACAACAATGCTGGGATTTAGACCTAAGAAGAGACAAGTCATGAGGGGCATGTCCTCTGTCATAGCCGGTTAGTGTCGCTGCTGCTGAAGGGGTCAGTCGCTACCCGGTGGCCTTGCTCTAACGGTGGGATTCCACTCCTCTCACCTGGGTGTGGTCTCCCTTGTGCCGGTGCTTTCTTGCCACGTGCTGCCTTCTGCCAGGTCATGGCAAGCATGAAGCCTCTGGGCAGATGTGGCCCTCCATCTTGCCAGCATCTGGAACTGTGAGCCAAATCCACTCCCCTTGTGTATTGTTTCTCCAGCCTGGGGATTCTGTTTCCGACCAAGCCAACCACAGAGGAGACCCTAGTAGTGTCCCGGCTCCAGGAAGCTGCTTCCTGGGGGTTCCTCACCCAGCAGCATCTTGTGTCTCTCCCCTTTGTCCTGCAGTACCACAGTCACCTCTCAGTGTGGTGACGAGAGGAGTGGTAAAATGCCATACACAATCCAAAACAGTAACCAGCTCAGAGTCACTCAAGAGGATAAAATGAATGAATGCATGAGCAACGGATGCTTGGTCACTGGTGGCGGGGGATGTCGTTTTCTGAAGGCATCAGTCAGGACTTTAAGAACTAGGACTTTCTCCTGATTCACAGACACTGCAGGAGCTCAGATGTGAGCCCAACTTCAACTCAGATTTGTTTGAAAGGAAGAGTTGTAGAGTGAAGAGCAGAGAGAGAATCTTCCATCCGCTGATTCACTCCCCAGATGGCTACAACGGCCAGGGCTGGGCCAGGCGGAAGGCAGGAGCAAGTTTCTTCTAGTCACCCACATGGGTTCAGGGACCCTTGGGCCATCATCTGCTACTTTCCCAGGTGCCTTAGCAGGGACCTAGATAGAAAGTGGAGCTGTGGGACTTAAACTGGCATTCATATATACCAATGCTGGAGGTGGAGGCTTAGCTAACAGGAAGCCCTGATTGGATTTGTATGGAAAGGCTGAGATATGCTCTTTGCTGAGCATTTATCTTCATCATAATGAAATAGCTCCTTAGCAATCCTGGGGAGATGAAGCTTTTAAAAAATTTTTAGCTTTAAGTTTTGAATTTTATGGTACAACTTCAGAGAGACTGGGACTCTCTCCCCACCCCAAATCCCACCCCCTGACTGATTTTCCCCATGTTGCTACAATAGTATAGCCCTTCATAAGGAGTCATGATTCCATCAGTCTGTTATTTAAGTGTGCCCCAACATTGCTGGTACAAACAATGTCAGACCATCCAGCGGGAGATAAAACTTTAACCATGGCCTTGATCTATAGGAATGTCCTCTTCTGATTGATGTGGGAGGAAAGGGTTGTCCAAGCAGGAGAAACAACTTTGGCCCTGAGATAGAGAGGAGCATTCAGGATGTACAGCAAATCTCAGAAATGTGACAAAAGACTTTGTAAGAGCCCTGGGTGCGGAATGGTGAGGACAAAGGGGTAGTCAGGACTGGGTTCTACCCCATGTCTGTTCCCACCTCAAGCAGCATCTTGGGCAATAGTTCCTCACTTACCCATCGGCCGAGAGCTTCCCTCCGGATCAGAGGCTTCTACAGATCTCTGGTCCTAGTTTACAACCATAAATACAGTTTAGGATGTGGCCTGTCACATCCACATACTGATATAAAAACAAGCAAAACATTTCAAAAGAACTCAAAATAATTTAATTTAACATGTTGGTGAAGTCAATCGTTTTGTTCTACTCCAGTCCATCTCACACTACTAAAATATATGCAGGCCACGACCACTGAAGTGACCTGTGGTTCAGCAGCAGGCTAGTTGGAGTGATCCGTGGAGCTCTTTGGTGACAGTCTCATGCTGGAAGAGGAAAGAGGGTGATCCTAGAGGGGAAACTGATCCTTTGTGGAAGGCTTACTCCTGGGCTGAACATGGGATTGCTGCTCTCCGTTCACAAGGCACCCCCTGGCTCCTGTTGACACAACAGATAGAATCAGCCACACCCAGCTCCACATCCTCTCTGGAACCTGCTCACTGTTGATCCTGTCCCCTTCCAAGACCCTCCAGTTTATCACTAAACAAAGCCCTAGGCAGGTGCTACCTGGAGGAAGGCGGGAAGGTCAGGTAGAGTTGAAGGACAATAGTCCTAGGAGCAAGAACACCTGGCTGTCCTCCCCAAGACAGATTGTCAGGGGCTCTGTCTGCCCACATCTTGCTTTCTAAGCCCTTAAAGATGTGTCCCCTCGGGCCCGGCGCGGTGGCGCAAGTGATTAAAGGTCCTCGCCTTGCACGCCCTGGATCCCATATGGGCGCCGGTTCTAATCCCGGCAGCCCCGCTTCCCTTCCAGCTCCCTGCCTGTGGCCTGGGAAAGCAGTCAAGGACGGCCCAAAGCCTTGGGAACCTGCACCCGCGTGGGAGACCCGGAAGAGGCTCCTGGCTTTGGATCGATATTGTGGAGTGAATCATCGGACGGAAGATCTTCCTCTCTGTCTCTCCTCTCTGTATATCCGCCTTTTTCCAATGAAAAAATAATAAAAATAAATCTTTAAAAAAAAAAGATGTGTCCCCTCCATCGGTGGTGAATGGGTAATGTCTAGATAACTGTTCAGTTGGGCAATGTAGAAAAGAGTAGGGAATGAAACCATATTCCACTGTTTTTCCCAGACTGTTAGCAGGGAACTGGATCAGAAGCAGAACAGTCAGGACATGAACCGGCACCCATATAGGATGCTAGTGCCACAGGCAACTGCTTTATCTGTTATGCCACAATGCTGGCTCTAATTATTAAAAATTAATAAATAAATTAAATGTATAATAATAATTAAAATTGATTTTGAGAGTTAATATATTCTGGTTAAAGTAATCATGTTACCTGCTTGATTTGAACACGATTTGAAAGTGTATTCTCCCACTCTATGACTTAGTTGTCACTTTTCAAAAAAAACTTATTTGTTTTTATTTGAAAGGTAGAGTTGCCGAGAGGAGAGACAGATTTTGTACCTGCTGGCTCACTTTTAAATGGCCACTTCTAATCGTCAGAGCTGAGCTGATCCAAAGGCAGGAATCAGGAACTTCTGGGTCTCCCATTTAGGTGTGGGAGCTCACGTACTTGGGCCATTTTCTGCTAATTTCTCAGGTTCTTATCAGGGAGCTTGATTAGAAGTGCAGCAGCCGGGACTTGAACCTGTACCTGTACAGGATACTGGTGCCACAGGCAGAGGCTTACATGAAATGCCACAACACCAGCCCCACTTGTAACTTTCCTGATAGTATTCTCAAGGGCACAAAAGGTTTACTTTTTTAAAAAGAGGATTTTGAAATTTTTATTTGAAAGGCATATTTACAGAGAGGAGACACACACACACACACACACAGATGTTCTACTTGCTGGTCATTCGCCAAATGGCCGCAATCATTGGGACTGAGCTGATCAAAAGACAAGAGCTATGGGATTCTTTCAGGTCTCTGACATGAGTACAGGGGTCCAAGGATTTGGGTCACTGACTACTGTTTACCAGGCCATAAGCTGGGAGGTGGATCAGAAGTACAGCAGCCAGGACAAGAACTACTGTCCATATGGGATCCCAGTGCCCCCAGGCAGAAGGTTAACCTGTTGAGCCACCGTGCTGGTCTAAGGTTTCATTTTCATCAAGTCCCATTTGTCTGTTTTTTGTTTTGTTTTGCTACTTTATGCTTTTGATGTCATGTCTGAGAAATCTTTGCTTAATTCAAGACCATAAAGATTTCCATCTATATTTTATTCAGTTTTAGAATTTTGGCTTTATAACTGTAATAAGTTATGTTTGTGTTCTGGTTCTATTGATTCTTGCATACAGTGTGAGGTAGGGGTTCCTAGTTCCCTCTTCTGCATATAGTTATTCAGGTGTTTCTGCATTGTGTGTGAACTCTATCCCTTTACCACAGGCAGCTGCTCCCAGCCCCAGCCCCTCTGCTGCCTTGGCACAGATTACCACTGCAAGAGGGGAAATTGCTACTGTGATGAGTTCTGCCACATGGTACCAGACTGCTGCCCAGACCACAGTACCTTCTGCAAGCCTGGGAATTCGCACACAGATTCATCTCCACCCACAGTCAAGCCGAAAGCTGGGATTGAAAGAGGCAAGTCCGTTGCCTGGAGTTTACTGTATAGGTTGTTGGGTGCCTGCAGCCCCGAGGCTTTGGCCTTCTATCCAGCTTGTGCTAAAGCATGTTTATTGCAGCTTGGTTTCTCAATTATTCTTGCACTTGTTGCTTTGCTTTGAGTCACTTTGAGTCCACCTTAAGTGATCTTGGAAAGTCATGATAGGTGATGGGGTGGTTGGATACCACATTTTTGCACACAGAACACTTTCTTTTTGCACACTCTTTTAGTGGGTGCCTCTGACCAATTCATGTAGATTTCTGCAAGTCAGCTGGAATTTGCACAGGGGTGCTGGTAGTGTTTGTGGCAGCAGTGTGTGTGGCGGGGAGGGCGGCAACGGGGACAGGAGCTCTCTCCCTGTGTTTCTTTCAGCTTCTTGGGCCAGCAGGATTGTGCTGCAGGTGATGCTGAGGATGGAGAAGCCGCCACAGACTGCAGGGGGCAATCTAGACTGGCTACAGAATCTGGTGAGTGTCCTTGAAGGTCTCCTGGGAGGAGTGGAGGACCATCTGTCCCTTCCTCCCGGGTCTCTAGTCCCCACAGTCTGGGAGCAGGTGCCAAAGGTGGAAGCAGAGCCTAAACTAGGTAGAGGTCCATTGCAGCGATGAATTTAGACATAGGAGCTAGGATTTCTGCCCACAGACATTTGAATTTTATATACTTTTTATATATCATGCAATCTTTTAATTTCCCCCAGTATTTATTTATTTGTTTATTCATTCATTTTATTTGAAGGGAGTTGGAAGAGAGAGGTTTCATCCTCTGGTTTACTCCCCAAATACACACATCAGCCAGGGCTGGGATGAATTAAAGCCAGACACCTGTTCTCATCTTCCATGTGGGTGTTAGGAACCTAACAACTTGAACCATTACCTGCTACTTCCCAGGAAAAGCACTGACAGGAAGCTGAAATTAGAAGCAGAGCTAGGGTCTGGTGGGATACCTAGCAGGGATCCTATAAGGGTGTCAGTAGTGGGCTACAAAGGTCCACTGAACTGGACTGAAACTGGCCAGCCTGTGCCCTAACTCCTTTTCCATTCTCTTCTTTCCTTCTGTGTCCTGGTTCCAGCCCTGAAGGAGAGGCCTCAGCTCCTGTCCTAGCCTGTGACAGCACTGGGCAGAAAGAAAGGCAGCGGAGTGCTGCAGTAGAGAGTATAGGCTCTGGCAGCAGATGGACTTGGCTTCAAGTCCTAGCTCCACCACTTACTACCTGGGGGCCCAAGCACTTCAGTTTTTCCATCTGTATCTTAGAGCTAGCCTTGTGGGACTGTGGTGGGAATTCATCGAGATCCAGCCTGGCAAAGGCATAGGTCTCAATGGATGTAGGTCTCAGTGGGTGTACAAGGAATGCCTGGTCCTTGGAAGCATGCCCAGAAGTCAGACAGTGGACAGACTTTGGCTCATTGCTTCCTTAGGTCCAGCAGCTTTTCCATGTCAACCTTTCTGGAAGACCGCTTGCCATTGCCGTGAAGGGAATCAGAAAGCGAGCCTGACTCCTCCAGAGGCTCCCCGCACCCTGGGTCATCAGGGATCACGGAGCAGAGGGCCCCTCTTGCCCCCACCTTGGCCAGCGCTTGTCTCTTTGCCGCCATCTGTGTACTTCCGCAGTGGTTTAGCTGGAGGAAGATGGAAACCTGCGATTCTTGGAAACCCATCTGAAAGTTCACAGAATCAGCCATACAAAGTATGAGACATGAACTTGGCTCCTGGTGTTTTTCTTCTTCCTTGTTTTGTGATGGTCACACAGAAAGTAAAATCTAGCACCATGCTACTAAGCCCTGTGTCGTCTCTCCCACCAGCCTGGGCTCCATATCATGCTCTGCAAGTCTGGAAGAAATCCTGGTCAGATCCTCTAGCTCAGGCCTCGTGCCCACTCCCTTCCTTCTTTGCAGGGGAGAGGCGGGGGCCTTACCGGGGGGTGGGGTGGGGACTGAGACTGGCCTCCTGGGGTCTGCTCCTGTGTAGAATTCCAAGGGCCTTGATGAGCTCACCCTCATTCCTCCCAGATTGCTTGGCTCCAGTTTCCATGAATGGTTTCCTCAGGCTCAGCCCCAGATCACAAACCTCAGATTTTTTTTTTAAGATGTATTTATTTGAAAGACAGTTGAGGAGTGGGCAGAGGGAGAGAAATCTTCTATCCACTGGTTCATTCCCCACATGGCCACAATAGCTAGAGCTGTATCAGATCCAAGTCGGGACCCATTCGGGTCTCCCATATGGGTAACAGGGATCCAGGCACTTGATCCATCCATGCTGAGTTTTAGACATGTTAATAGAAAGCTGGATTGAAAGCAGAGCAGCTAAGACTCAAACTGGCAATCCGATAGGAGATTGGAGTATTACAGGTGGTGGCTTAGCCCAATGCACAGCATTGCCCACCTTTGCCATGCACAGAATCCATGTGGGTACTGGGGTGGCACAGTGCAGTTCACCTTGGCAGAGCTATAGTAGTCCCGGGTGCAGGAGGTGGTGGGACCCATGGTAAAGAATCTGGAGAGGGGACTCATTGCATGATGCAGGGCCTCGGGTTCCAGTACAGCACTGGCTGCTGGGAGGACAGCCTTGCATCCATGCAGCAGATAGAGTATGCTGCTATGCAGCTGTGGTCCCTAGCCTTGATGACCAGCAAGCTGGAGAAGTCCCAGGCCCACCTGGCCTGATGCACCATGCATTTTGTGACAAAGCCAAAGTGTAGCAGACACAGAGGATAAGGAGCTTCTTGGAGAGCGGCAGCTGGGGCGGGGAGTGGGGTGGGGCATGTGACCAAGTGTGTAGATGACCACACGCACCTCAACCCAACTGTGATTGAGAAGATGAAGGACTTGCTCTCACTCATTGGAAAATAGGAGTTCCACCAGTGATGAGCAGGGCTGGTCTTTATTTTTCAATTTGTTGATATGGTGAATCACATTTATTGATTTGTGAATGTTAAACCATCCCTACATGCCAAAAATAAATCCCATCTGGTCTGGGGGAATGATCTGCTTGATGTACTATTGGATCCTGTTGGCTAGTAATTTGTTGAGGATCTTTATGTCTATGTTCATCAGGGATATAAGTCTGTAGTTCTCTTTTTCTGTTGTGTCTCTCTGAGTTTTATATTAAGGTGATATTGCTTTCATAGGAAGAGTTTGGAAGTATTGGCTTTCTATTGCTTGGAAAAGCTTGTGGGGAATGGGGGTAAATTTTTCTTGAAATATTTAGTAGAAGTCAATCCCAAAAGGTAAAATGCCATATGTTCTCTCTAATATAAGGAAACCATCATGCAAGTTATAAGCTCAATAACCCTTTCCACACTGTTTTTGCTGCATCCTATGTGTTTTGATGTCTTTTGTTTTATTTTCATTTGTTCCAGATACTTTCTTTTTTCTTGTTGAATTCATCACTGGCTCATGGATTGCATGGTGGCATAATTTTACCCAAGAGATCTTTTTGTTTTCATCACCCGTGCATTGGTGATTCAGTGGCATGTGTTTTCGACTCCACAGTGCTGTGTTTATTTCTTCTTTTTGTTTTTGCTTTAACTTCATACCCAAGGCTTTGGCCTGTCCTTGACTGCTTTGCTAGGCCATAAGCAGGGAACTGGAAGGGAAGTAGAGCAGCTGGGTCATGAGCCAGCGCCAATATGGGATCCGATACTTGCAGGGCAAGGAATTAGCTACTGAGCCATTATGCTGAGGCCGTAGCTTTTGTTTTGTGGCTTGTGATATAAATGGTATAATGATACCTCTGGTAAAAAGAGATTGACACCAAACCACAAACTTTTTCCTCTACTTCTACCAGACCACAGGCAAAGCAGATGAGCCATTGGTACCTGTGTCATTAAGAAAGCTGTAATGCCTGGGAGGGTTCTTTTTTTTTTAATTTATTTTTTTATTATTTTGACAATCTTTACATAGTTAATTAGGGTAAAAAGGTTCAAGGGCTACAGGAAAGTGGGTAAGACTATTATTTTTTCCATATTGTTTTCTTCATGTTTAAAGGGGTTGGGAGGGTTCTGACTGGGGACAGGAGGACCAGGTGTTGCCAGGATAAACACTGCTGCCTGAGACTGAGCCTTCAAAACATTACCCAGTACCAAATCTGACCCAAACTCAGCACCATTTGACTTCTGAGGAGATTTGCTTCCCAGATATGTTAGCAGGGAGCTTGTTTGGAAAGTGAGCAGCTGGTATTCAAAGTGGACCTCTGATATGAGTTACTGGCATGGAGAACAGTGGGTTAACTTGCTGTGCCACAATGCCTGCCCCTGGGAGCCCAGAAATTTCTGGCTGAGGCTATTGTGGTTCTGAGCAGCCATGCACTTAGACTTATAAATTCTCCCAGAAGCAGAGGAAGCTGGTGCGGGCAAGAACCAGCATTGCCCTGGAGGAGGTAGGCTTTCTCACTTCCTCATTGGGCAGATGGTTCAGATGATAAAGAGCAAAGGAAAAGAGTGGGGGAGTCCCTGGTTGGGGCAAGACCGACTGGCACCCTGAATACCTGCGGGAGATTAAGCTCAGACCCACCTGGCACTGGAATGAGGAAGCCCCTTCCCCGCTGGGGCAGGGCTGCATTCCTGCTGGGGTTCCACTTCAGCTCTGTTTGGGGTGAGACTCATGCTACAAGACAGGGTCTGAGCTTCAGCTGACAGCACAGTCCTAGATTTCTCTCCCCACTAGACACCTACCTGGGGGCCTCCAATCTCTGTTTACAAAAGGCAGAGCTGTGATTGAATGACCTAGTGAACCAAAGGGTCCAACATCTCCAACCCGAGTGCTGGGATCCCTCTGCCTCTCCTGGGACAGCTCCCAGCTCCTTCAGGGCAGCCCAGCCCTTTACCCCGTAACATCACATTGTAGAACCTCACACTTGCTGGCCCAGCAAGACCTCACAGCTCCTGTTGATGGAGGGTCAGAGAAGGTAAATAACTTAGCAAAATCACACAGCCACCAGTTCTCTACCCAGAGCTATTCCCACTGTAATATGGCTCTGGCCCTGATGATGGGCCCTGTGTGTCTGCTGGCGATGGTTCCAAAGCTCATGTCAATGTTGGCCATTCTTTGAAGGCTAATATCCTGCAGCCTCACTCTGGTTCTGGTCCAATCCCCTAGTGGTCACTAGGTCATCACCTTACACTTTCCCTACACCTAGCTCCAATTAGCACAATCACCCTCTCCCTTCCTCTAGCCGGCCGCTCTCCCTGCCTCACCTCTCCAGAGAGGGGCATTGAGAGCAGAACAGCAGGATGTTAAATGAGGGAGATCAGAGTTCTCCCCACCTACCCTGGGGAGCTGGTTCCTGTGAAACCTCAGAGGACCGTCCGTCTCTCTAAGGCTTGGGCATCTGGGTGGATGCCAGGGCTCCAGCTCATTTAATTGAGCACCTACTCAGTGTACCTTTTTGAAGAACTCCCATTAGGCAGCAAGTACTGAGGAAGACTTGTACTATCTCAGGAGACAAATATGGCCAGCAGTGGGCCCTTCTTAAGGGTTAGGATGTTGAGGTTCTGCAAGTTTCTCTACCTTTCTCTAATAGGATCATTGAGCCAATAAAGGATCAGACACAAACATCAAGGTTACTGTCTGTGAAGCCTGAGGGCTCTGGGCAAGGGGCAGGTGCAACAGTGGAACACAGGTGGCTCCCACGGCCTCCTCCACAGCAGAACCGAAGGACCACGGTGAACGTGACTGACAGCCCACTTCACAGCAAGCACAGGGGGCAGGGGAAGCCACTGACACCCTGACCTGCCTGCTCTGCGCCTGCACATGTGTAGTTGTCTGGCTGAGTCCTGGAAACTCCCCAGCCACACCTGGCCGGGCAGCTGCTCCTGCTCCTCCTCTTGGGGTGCAGGAAGCAGGAAAAGGCGGTAGGAGGAGGCAGGGGGCAGTGGGGGAAGGCTGGCCAGTGGCGCCCCTAGCCAGCATGGGCTCTCTCTGGGTCCCTGTTTTGCTGCTTCTCTTCTGCTTCCGGATTGGGGTGGCTAACAGCACCGCAGGTAAGGAAGTGGAGCTCTGCGGGCTGGGGGCGGGGAGGGGCGGGGGCGGTGGAAGGTGGGTCCTGGAGTGGTGCTCCCTAGTGGTATGAGCAGGCCATCCTAGGGTCTTGGTGAGGCTCTCCACAGGTTGTTGTTGTAAAGGGCCCAAGGGAATGACACCGGGGGCAGAGAGTAAATAGCAGAGCAAGCAGACCAACTACAGCACTGCTATCTCGGCTGGATGAGAGCCAGGCCAGGGGAGTGGTATAGGGGGAAGAGTCCTGATGCATTCCCAGACTGGGTGGGGGGTTGAGAGAGCCTCCAGTTGGGAGAAGGTGGCACCCCCAGCCCCAGTGCGTTTCTTTTTAGCTTAAGTCTAGATATGTTGTAAAGACTGCACTAAAAAGACTCATATTGAAAAATTCCTCACTGTTTATTTGAAATTCAAAAATTTAACTGATGTCATTTGTTATTATTTATGAAATCTGGCCACCCTTCACTTGATCCATGGGAAAAGAGAGTTCCCCACCCCAGTGTGGACAGAGGAGACCAGCCTGCTGATGTAGCCTGTTCCGGGTGTGGTGGAGAGCACGGAGTTCCCTCTGGCCTTCGGCTGCTGCGGCTCCAGGGCTTATCTCAGCGCAGTGTCCTGCTCGCTGGAGAGCTGCAAGCAGCCTCTCCACA